CCTCACTTCTTTATCCAGCAAAGCTATCATTCAGAATTGAAGGCCAGATAAAGAGTTTCACAGAAAAGGAAAAGCTAAAGGAGTTCATCACCACCAAACCAGTATTATATGAAATGCTGAAAGGTATCCTTTAAGAAGAGGAAGAAGAAGAAAAAGGTAAAGATACAAATTATGAACAACAAACATGCATCTATCAACAAGTGAATCTAAGAATCAAGTGAATAAATAATCTGGTGATCATAATAGAATCAGGGACATAGAAAAAAAAACAGGTATTTTAAATACTATAAATATGCTCAAGAGAAAGTAAAGGAAAACATAAATATAATAAGAAAAATTGAAGATAAAGAAAAGACTCAATGAAATTTTAAAAAATCCTCACCCAAGGATAATTTTTCATTGATTTTTAGAGAGAGTGGAAGGGAGGGGGAGAGACAGAGAGAGAAAAACACCGATGTGAGAGAGACACATTGATTGGTTGCCTCCTGCTCACACCCAACCTGAGGCAGGGGATCGAGCCTGCAACTGAGTTACATGCCCTTGACAGGAATCAAACCTGGGACCCTTCAGTCCGTAGGCTGATGCTCTATCCACTGAGCCAAACCAGCTAGGGCCCAATGGAACTTTTAAAGGTGAAAAATACAATCTATAAAACAAAAATACATACTGGAAAAAATATTATACAAATATAACAGTATACTTCCCTGGCTAGTGTGCTCGGTGGTTAGAATGTTGGCCCCCACAATAACAGGTTACGGGTTCAATTCCTGGTCAAGGGTATGTACCTGGGTTGGAAGGCAACCAATTTATTTCTCTCTCTCACAGTGATGTCTCTCTCTCTCCCCTCTTTTCCTCCCTTCAACTTTCTCTAAAAATCAATGGAAAAAATATTCTTGGGTGATGATTAAAACAACAACAACAAAAGATAATATACTTTTTTATAAGAACACCTTTAAATACAATGCTATATATTAAATACATCAAAATGTTTCCCTATCTTAGGGGGAAGTGAATGGAAATGGCTTATGAGATAAGTGGGGGAAATCAATTAATTAGATACATTTTTTAAAATGAGGGGCCTGAAGAAGACCTATTACGATAAATGCCATGACACGAGGAATATGATTAATTTAATCCCAAACACTCCAAGGAACAAAGCAAGGAAATAAACCCCAAAAGTGCTAGAGCCCAGCTACTGTGTGTCAATGGTTGAGTGTCAACCTACAAGCCAGGAGATCTCAGTTCAATTCCTGGTCAGGGCACATGCCCAGGTTGTGGGTTCAAGCCCCAGTGGGGGGCGTGGAGAAGGCAGCTGATCAATGATCCTCTCTCATCATTGCTGTTTCTGTCTTTCTTTCCCTCTCCCTTCCTCTCTGAAATTAATAATTTTTTTTAAATTATTAATCAAATTCTGACCTGATTAGGTCAAACCCACTGAAGATAATCTCCCTTCTTAGAATCAACTGATTTGGGACCTTAATTACAATCTGCAAAATTCTTAAAAAAAAAAAAAGTGGTAGAGAAAATAGAAAGCTGAAGTTTGGTAGATGGCTAGAAAAACCTTTTAGCCCAGCTGATGTTGCTCAGTGGTTGAGCAACGACCCATGAACCAGGAGAATATATATATATTTTAAAAATAATAAAATAAAAACCTTTTAACCAAGAGCCAGTCAGACTTTTGGAGCCTAAGAGGCAGAGATTAAAACACCAGGAGACGAATTATCATAGCTAATACTTAATGTAAAACTAACCATGTGCCAGGCATTTTTCTAAGTGCTTGCCACATATTAATTAACAACTTGGTGAGGGAAGATTTCATACAATCTTTGATGCCTCATAAATCCGTGGAAAATAATAGTAGATTTGTGTTTAAGCCAAAGGTTGAAGCTAAATAGCACACGGGGGCCTTGGCTGAGGTTCCTTCTTTCAGAATGAGTGACTCAGTAAAAACAATGAGGACAAGAGTTATTGTATTGAAATAAGTCTATATAAACAAGTGAGGAGAAATCTTAGCTCCATGAAGAGAGGAGGTGCCCAGCCCCAAGCTCTCAGCCTCCTCACCTTCCCACCATTTCCCACCATGGCCCAGGACCCTACTTTACAGGGGAGGAGATGATACCACATGGACCTGCTCAGAGTCAATTGTTCAAGTCTTCCAACCCTCAGCCCCTCATTTCTGCCCCTAC